CGCTGGGGAACAAAAGTAAAAGATCAAAAACAAAGCCAATATGGCTAAATAAAACGGTAAAACAATACATTAAAGAAAAAAAAGTAGCATTTAGTAAGTATAAAACGGAGGGGACAGTATTGGCATTCCAAAACTACAAAGAATGTAATAAAAGATGTAAACTGGCAGTTCGGGCAGCTAAAATTGAATGTGAGAAATATATTGCCGAAGTTAGTAAAAGGGACCCCAAAATGTGTTATCAGTACATAAACAGTAAAAAGGGGAGAAAGGAGCAGATAGGCTCAATAAAGGACATAAATGGGAAGTTACTCACAAATGACAGGGAGAGGCCTGGGGCGCTAAATACTTTCTTCTCGTCGGTATTCACAGAGGAAACAAGACGGGTTTAATGTACATGATAAAACACAAAATTTAACAAGAAATACACCTGAGTGGTTGACTGAAACTGTGATACAACAAAGGCTTAAGCTACTAAATGCAAATAAAGCATTAGGACCTGATAATCTACATCCCAAGGTACTCAAGGAACTGAACAAGGAGATAACGAGACCATTGTTCCTCATTTTTAAGGAATCCGTAATGGCTGGTAGAGTGCCAAGCGACTGGCGAAGGGCTAATGTGGTACCTATATTCAAAAAAGGGTCAAAATGCCAACTGGGGAACTATAGACCAGTTAGTCTGACATGCATAGTATGTAACCTATTAGAGGGAATTATTAAGGACTACTTAGTGGAATTCGTCCAAGATCATGGCATAACAACTGATAATCAGCATGGATTTAGGAAGGATCGTTTTTGCCAGACCAACCTGCTGACCTTTTTAGGAAGAGGTGAGTAGAGATCTAGATGGGGAGGACGGTGGACGTAGTATATCTGAACTTTTCCAAAGCATTTGATACGGTGCCACATAAACGCTTTTTATACAAGCTAAGGGCTATGGGCATAGATGAATTAGTGTGCACGTTCTTGGCTACAAGAACGTGCACAAAGAGTATCAGTAAATGGCACCTTTTCAGACTGGGCGGAGGTCATGAGTGGCGTGCCCCAGGGTTCTGTGCTGGGTCCCATTCTTTTATAACCTATGTATTAATGATATCGGGGAGGGAGTGAGTAGCCATGTCTCAGTGTTTGCTGATGATACGAAAATTGGGAGGGTAGTAGACACAGATTAGGACATTATAACATTACAGGAGGACCTGGATAAAATCGGGGAGTGGGCAACTGTATGGCAGATGAAGTTCAATGTCGATAAATGTAAGGTAATGCACCTTGGAGTTAAAAATAGGCAAATGGACTATACACTTATGGGTATGCAACTAGGGAAGTCGGAAACGGAGAAGGATTTGGGGGTCGTTATAGAACGCAGATTGAATAACAGCTCGCGGTGCCAGGATGCTGTAAACTGTTTTTGAAAGCTTGAGTTTTAAGAAGTGTTGCGACATCCAGGCTGATATGTCGGATAGTAGATTAGTGACACTAGAGGACACCAAGGGGGTGAGTTGTGGAGTGGAAAGATAGATTTGAGTGTCATCAGCATTGAGATGGTATTAGAAGCCATGTGAGGTTATTAACTGACCAAGGGAGGTGGTGTAGATATAGAAGAGAAGGGGTCCAAGGACAGAGCCTTGGGGGACCCCTACAGAAAGAGGAAGATGAGGGGAGGATTTAGAATTGTAGGTGACACTAAAGGAGCGCTTAGGTAGGAGGAGAACCACGAGAAAGCAGAGTCTTGTAGCCCAAGTGACTGGAGTTTTTGAGGAGTAGCAGGTGGTCAACAGTGTCAAAAGCAGCAGAAAGATCTAATAGCAAGAATAGGGAATAGTGGTCTTTGCTTTTAGCAGTGAGTAGGTCATTAGTGAGTTTTGGGAGGGCGGTTTCAGTGGAGTGTTGGGGGCGAAAGCCAGATTGTAAGGAGTCAAGAAGGTTGTGATGAACTCTATTTGTAAGTAAATGAAAAACAAGTTTAACTAATTAATGTAAGATGATTTTAAATCAGCATACAGAGCTGCATGGTGGTGTGATTTTTAGTGATAGGGAGTAGAGGTCTACTTTAAAGCAATAATGTATTATTACCTGAATTTTATTATTGTTAATGGAAATGGTAAAGCAAGTTAAAGAAATTGAAGTAAACCAGTGGCAAACCATGACCTGCATCTGATAGCAAAATGTGTGGTATGCTGTTCATGATAGTTCAATTATAAAAGGCAATGCAGTATTAATACAGCTGTCTATTATGTCAATTTGAACTGGACAAATTGCTAATCTACTTTGAAAATCTAGCAAAAAAAGGGGAGCTAAACTTTAAAGAACTCCAGGAAATGTAAAAATGAACCCTTGCAGTGGGGCTACCCCTGCACTGCAAGCATTACCTGCTCGTTTTTGTTTAGGGGGCTAAACTAAAGAAAATATACTCATCTAATCCTCGGTCCCACCTGGCTGCTAGACCGGTCCTTGCAGCCTCCCCCTTCCCCGGGCTCCTGAAGTCTGAGGTCCCATCATGACGTCATCATGTCTAATGAAGCTGCATTAGATCCAAAAATTCCAAGGAACATTCCACCG